TCTTCCGATCTCCCCAAAACCCCAAAACCCCACAGATACAAATTAAGGTATATAGAATAGACGTGGCGAATTAATAATTTAAATCTATAGAAGTAATTTAGAAAGTAAAATTTTTTATTTCAGAAGAACACCTTAAGTAATGGTCAGACAATATGTGCAAGTTACAGACGATTAAAGAAGAGATCTTGTTCGCCTAATACATCAAGAGAACTACTCAATTGCAAAAGCATCGAAAATAACAGGCATTCCTTACGATAATGCGAAAGCCATTAACCGAACTTTTCTCTGAGAAAGTAGAGTGAACAAGATAAACTATCGACTAAGATATCAGAAAAAATAGAGAGATTAAATGGAAGAGGGTATCGATAATAATCTCGAGGCTTCTGATGAGTCCCTGGATCGATATTCTGGAGATTTCAACACTCCAGATTTATAGATGTAATAATACGAAGTATCCCCTCAATCACAATACCTAATGATTGGTAATGTAGATAAATTGGTCACTCCACCAAGGGATTTGAATTTAAGAAATAGTAATAGGCTTTATTGCAATTTGTAATTGAGTGATTATCAGAAATCCTTCAATTCCTAGCTGAAATAAGCACAATCGATACTAGTCCCTTAGGCGCTCAGGCCCTACTTAAATTAGTAACAACAATAAGAATAATATTTCCTACCTCATTCGAATGGTTATTTATTGAAGTAATTTAATGACAGCTGCAATCGTTAAATACCGACCACAGATTTCTAACAGGAAGAGAAAGGATTTTTTAATTTCAAACTGTATTCCGACCAAATCTAAGAGAGGCAAAATATCAGACATTTACAGCTACTATAGAAAATTGACACGAAAAATATTCTATTATCTTAGACAAAGGAATCCATGGATAAAAACTAACCAGGAATCTCATAGGGCCTAATGACTGCTGGAATATCTATAAAGGGTAACAAAGAATAGCAAATTTCCAAGATGGAGTCTATTGTTTCCCAATTAAAATAGTAAGAATAAAAGCAACCTTTTATTGAAAATCTATTGGATTTTCTGGATGATGGCGCTAAGAATCCTTCGTATTGAATTTTTATGAGTAAATAGTGTTTAAATAAGTATGATTTCTAAAGTTAATCTATTAATTTTTCTCAGAAATATTCCCTCAAAATTTTCATGAATTAGATGGGATTGGGGTTTTGGGGTTTTGGGGTTTTGGGGTTTTGGGGTTTTGGGG